AGTTTACAGCAGCTTAAAACTCACCTTCTTAATCCTGCAGCTCTCACTTGGAAATCAGCATTCAGGTAAGGCGGAGTTTAATATCACTAAACTCATTCAAAGATAAGGCGGAGTTTAATATCACTGAACTCATTCAAAGGTTTTCTCCCAAACAAAAACACAAAATATGTTTCTAAAGCAATTATTAGTTTAAAATAACTATAACTGGGCTTAGGGTTTGAGCTCCCCTCTCTCTCTCTCTCTCTCTCTCTCTCTCTCTCTCTCGTGTGTGTGTGTGTGTGTGTGTGTGTGTGTGTGTGTATGTGTCTCGTCTGCTAGGTCCTCTCCCTCTCACTGCGTATGGCTCCAAATACTAAAACTTCAATCTCTGTACTTCTTGGTGAATAATTTTTATAAGTCGCTGGCTTTCGAATTCTGTGTGTATGCTTAAAGAAAGTTAATATAAAATTAGTATCTTAAAAAGCAACTGTAACACAGGGAACTGGTTTAAGGTAGATATTTCCCAAAATTTCTTTGTAAAATATTTTATTTATTGGTATCAGAATAAATGTATTGCTATTGTAATTGGTATTTCTCCTTTCATATTTCTGGAATACAACTCTTTATTTAAGACCTATAAGGAACCACTTCTAATGAGTTATATACTGGAAATATAATGAGATTCCTCAAATATCATCAGAAAAAAAAGTGTGGAGTTTTGCTCAAGTCATATTTTTAGTTTATTACTCTGAGATAAAGCTTAGTAGTAATTTCTTAGATTATTTGCTTATCTAAATATAGAGATTTACTATTTTGTGGAATATCTTCTTTATTTTAATTTTGAGATAATTGGCGATTCACATGAAGTTGCAAGAAATATTATACAGAGATTCTCATATCTTCACTCCTTTCCTCCAGTGATGACATCGTGCAAAACTGCAGTACAATTATCATAGCCAGGAAACTGGTGTCATTATCGGGCCCAGACCTTATTCAGATTCCACCAGTTTTACATGCACTCGTGTGTGTGTGTGTGTGTGTGTGTGTGTGTGTGTGTGTGTGTGTGTTTAGCGCTATGCAGTTTTATCACATGAAGACTCAGGTGACCATGTGGAATATCTTTTAATCAGTTTCTGTTTTTAGTGTTTCGTCTTGGCTTTCCTTTTGAAAACATCCATGTCCCTATCTATTAGATTCTGTTTCTCCTTTATGGCTTTCCATTCCTTGGCTACAGTAACTTATTCATCTCTTCTTTGAATTTTATTGCCTCATTTGTGAACTCTGCTAGCAGAGAGTGCTGCATTTGGTTTGCTTTTTGCAGCACATTTATCCTTTCCCAGGAAAAGACACAAACACACACAGACATTCCAGCATGCATTCACAGGGTTTTTAAAGACACCAGTGAGAATAGATTAATATAAATACTAAGCTTAAAAACTGTCATAAAAGTTCAGCCTTTAAAATTGGCTTATTAAAATATTTGTTTTTTTTAAGCCCAGATTTAAACTAAAGTTATGAGTTATAGTGCTCCGCTCAGAAAGAAGTTTACTTTATGTGTGTGGTTTTTTCTTTAATTTTTTTTTTTTTTGTTTCTGGCCAGGCAAAAGGAATCCAGCATCTGTGCCGTCTACCCAGTAGAGAGCAAAGCAAGAATGATGGAAACATGGTTCAGATCAAGATCTGTCTGAAAATATGAGTTTCAGAAAACCTCAATGAAGAATTCTATCTCAAATGACCCCAAACAGCCCCAGAAATCCGAGGAAGTCCCTCTCCAGCAAGAGGAGGAGCAAGACTTCCCTGATGAAGGAAGGACTGCTGGCATTGAAGGGGACAAGACACACATTTACAGGTCAAATCCCCACATCAGATCTTACTGATGGGCATTTTGTAACAAAATGTTGCTTATATTCCAGGGAGCTCCACCTTTCATTCTGTTTCTTCTAAGCAAGCAGAAGCTCCCCTGGAATTCTGCATTTCTGTTCTTCTCCACGAAGAATTGATTTTCTAGTATCCAGGATACAGTAGTTAACACCTTTGAGAATTACATTTTCAGGAGGGAGGAAAAGGCTAATGTATATTAGATAGTGAAGGGGTCATGCAATTTCTTCAAAGTAGCTGAAACTTCTCAGAAAAAAAAAAAAAGTTTGTTGAGTAAGGGAACCTGTTGAAAACCTTTGCACACACTTTGCAGAAGTTAGAGAAGTTTTCTTTAACCACACAGCAGGGAACAAGACGAAGGTCTGATAAGTAATGGTCGCCTTCCCCCACCCTCCAAGCCAGGTGGCCCAGACCCTGCTCCGAAGGCGCAGGCATTCCATGACAATACTAAAAACGCCTTTTGAGATTTTTCCATTCGATGAATCCAACTGACTGGCCAAAGACACCTGATTTATTGTCTAATTGTGCTTTTAAATACCAGGCCGAAGAAGAAAGGCAGGTTAGATATCAGCACCAGCCGCACTCCACCATCTCCTACGTTTCTCTTCATATCAAAGGACAATTTAGGCTTCGTGCTGCTGTTGCTGTTAGTCTAGACACAGTTTTCTTCATATACATGAAAACATTCCGCATCAAACATTAAAATCACATACAATTTACTGAAAGGTCTAGAGATTTTTTGCTGATGCATATAATAAATGTTTCGTAGAAACGCTACAAATAAACAGCAAATACTGTTTAGCACCATTTTCAGGAAATCACACCAGTTATAATTGTATTGATGCTTATAGGGAATAATGAGTTTAAAACAAAAAGAATGACAAGATGTTGGGCTGACATGCCCGATAAGTAAAACCAAGGTGTGTCCAGAATCATTCGGGTAGAAAAAATGTTCATGTTTCTCTTCTGTTCTTTTAGAGTATCTGTTTCAAGAAACTAACTAGTCTGAACTATTCACTTACAGTCCAGTACGTAAAAATAAAAATAAATAGGCTCCATATAGATCATCGGCTCTCCCACTAACTGTGTGATTACCTATTACATTTTGAAGGGCTTTTTTCCAAACAAGTTCTTAGCACTGTTTTTACTTATTACATGTATTGCATCTTATTTTTCTATAATCTTTAATGGTCACCTATTACTGATTCTCAAAGTTTTGAGGAGTGCAATTATTTTTAAATGAATTTTAAATGTTTCTACTAAATTCTAGCAGCATTATATCTGCTAGTATTTGTTTTCAGTAATTTTCTGGAGGGTAGTCTTCACGATCATTCCAATGACATTTTCCTTAAACAAGGCTCAACGTGTGTGTTTTAAAAAAGATGATATTCCTCATCTGTTTGTTCTTATTTCAGATGTGCTGTAAACCATGAATGAGGTAAAGCATAAATGGAAATAACTAATGGAAGCTCATTATTTAGGCAGCAAAAACCAGAATTAATGTATTACCCCACTGTAGCATTTAGTACTCAAGCCAATCCAAACGTTCCTAGAGAAATACGTGATTGAGACACTTTCCATCTGTTTTTGACAAAGACAGGAGAAGATTCCCACAAGTTATTTTCTGTTGAAAATTCTTTTTTAAAAACTATAAAATTATCACTATGTCAGGAGGCTCTTTCATCGAAAGGATTTTCAGACACCGAAATAAAAGCTTTAAAAAAGAAAATAAAACCCACCTGTGCTAGATCAGCTTTTCGTGGCCTCAGCAACAACATTCGCAGATATTACAGAACCACATAAAAAAGAAATAGATATGTTTGGGAGAATAGGCGGCCGGGTGCTCTTGATTAATCTAAATTCCTTCTGTGCGAAGTAGAGACTTTTATAAAAGCATCGCAAGACGTGCGAGGGACTACAACATACTAAGTAGGAAGGATATTTAACGCGGCCCCCACGAAAAGAACCCTGTACCCCTCCATTGCCCTGGATGGCGGGTGGGAGAGGGGCTCGCCTGCTCACAGAGCCTCGGAGAAAGGACGGCGCCTCCGTGGCTCAAGCCTGTCTGAAGGGACTTGGAAGGTGTCTGGTGAAAAGGAACCGGTGCAGGACGCCCTAATCGCTCTTCCAGAGGAAACCAGAGCTCCGAGTGCTCCTGGCAGCTGTGTCCCAGGAGCCTTCTCCTCGCGCAGGGCCCGGCGCACACCGCCTCCCTGTGCCCCAGATCTGTTTCCCAGCCTGGACCCCTCGCGCACCCTGCGGGGCTGGACCCAGGACGCAGCACGAGCGGGGCCCCTCCCGGGCACTCCACGGCCAAGGCTGGGACCCGGGGCTCCCAGCTCGGAGGTCGGCTCCACCTGCCTGCCGACCGCCTTGGGCTCCGCGCGGCTGCGTCCGAACCCCCACCCCCACCCTCCAGCCTCCGAGCTTCGGGCTCTGCGCCCTCCGCCCAGGGCCCTTCTCCCGCACTCCCCGCCCTGCGGCTGCTCCGGCCCCGAAGCGCTGGGCAGTTTCCCCCAGTCCTCCCTAGACAAACCGTGGAGCCTCAGGCCCGCGCCTCCACGCCCACAGGGTCAGCCAGGGCGCCGACGGCCCGGACCGCAGGCGCTAGCAGCTGGGGAGATGCGTGTCCGCCCGACGAACGCGCTCAGCCCCTGTCCGGGAAGAGAGCGAAGCCATTTGCCCGGCACGACCCGGCTCGGGCAGCTTCGCTAGCGGCCCGCGCTACGGCGACGCAAAGGGCAGCGGGTCCCCATCTCCAGGTCCCCGGCCTGCCCCAGGAGGTTGTTCTGATGCCCGCTCCTTCCACCGCCAACCACGGACACCCGCACACCACCGAGAATGGAAAATGCAACCGTCTAAGTGCCTTCGGGCCTTGCCGGGGGAGTCTGCGGTCCGACGGTTCGTTTCCCAACTGACACCCTCACGTGGAAGTTTGCAAAGGCCCTCGGGGGTGTCCCTGGGACTGGGAGCGTCCCGCCCGCCCGCCGTCCGTCGCTCGGAGGAAAAGCGCACCGCAACCACGCCGCCTCGGCCCGCGGGGCCTCCCCGAGGAGACACGCGCAGGCCCCGGCCCCCGCGCCCCTCCCGCCCCCCTTTCGCCCCCCGCAACGGAGGGCGCCCGTCGCGCGAGCAGCACCTACCCTGGCGCGCCGGTCCGGAGGGGGGTGGCGCGGCGCTAGTGGGAGGCGGACATGGACCACGCGCCCTCCATGCGCCACACGGAGAAGGCGTAGCTGAGGCGCTCGTGGGCCACGTAGCTGCAGCTGGTCATCTTATTGTCCATCTCGTCGCTCTGCAGGACCTGGTAGAGGAAGTCTATGTACCTGGCGGCCAGCTTGAGCGTCTGGATCTTGCTCAGCTTGTCAGAGGGCAGCGTGGGGATGATCTTGCGCAGCGCCGCGAAGGCCTCGTTGAGCGATTGGGTGCGCTGGCGCTCGCGCACGTTGGCCAGGATGCGCTGGCTCTGCAGCTCCTCGAAGGACTGCGCGCTGGGGCTGCCCTTCTTGCCGCGCTTGCCCGGGGTCGGGCTGCCATCTTCGCTCGACTTCTTGCTGTAGCGCCGCTTCCGGCCGAAGCGCTTGGGCTGCCTCTCGAGCTCCTCCTCGCTGGTGCCCAGGCTGTCCACGGGGGACACGGGCGAGCTGGAGCCCTCCTCCATGGCGCCCGCCCGGCGCGCGTGGGGCTGGGGGCGCCGGGGCGCCGAGCGCGCGCCGCTGGCCAAGCCCGCGGTCGCCGAGCACACGCTCTCGGAGTTGCTGGAAAGGCTCTGGTTTCAAGGCCGGCTTGTGCAAAACCGAGGTCTCCGGGAGAGGAAGTTATTCTAACTTTTTTGGAAACTCTAGCCGGGCTGGGTTGCTAAATAGTTGTCAGGAGCGAGGGCGGCGCGCTGATTGGCCGCGGTGGCCGGGGGCAGGGCAAGCTCTGGGGCCTTCGCCGGCCGCCCCCGCCCCCCGGCGCGGCACTTTCAGTTTTGCCTCCCTCTTCGGCCCCGGCCGCGGAGGGCATCCCGGGGGCCGGGTCCTCGCCCGCCACCAGCTCCCCCACCCCGAGCGCGGGCCACTCTCCGGCCGCCCCAGCCTAGGCCTGGCCAAGCCTGGCTTTGTCTGCGCCTTAGCGTGGAAATCGGCCCCCACTGGGCCTTGGCGGGTGGGGAGGGGTCTCTCTCTGGGCGTGAGGGGCTCGAGAGGCTAGTCCAGCCCCAGATGCGCTCCCCGAAAATACGGACACAGCCGGAGCCTCCTAGACCTGTGTGGGTCTTGGCCGCCCCGAGCGCGAGTCTGCACCACGGGCCGCACGCTCAGGCCTGGGGTCTGGAGAGCTGCGCGGGCAGCGGTCTCTGTGCCCCGACCGCCAACGTGAGGACAGCCCAGGACGCCTGGAGACGCCCGTGCCCAAAGACGTGCCGCCGAGATCCGCAGAGATGCCACCCCTCGGGCCAGCGTGCGTGTCGGGGACCGTTTCTCACCAGGGCTTGCTGGGGAGCCCCGGCCCGACGCCCTTCCCGAACCTTCCTTCTAACTGCCTTAAAACAACGCCACAGCGAGCCTCTGCGGGAGCGCCGGGTGCCCGGCGCGCCCGCCTGCCTGGCCCTGCCCGGGGTGCTAGGCGCGGGTTGGGGCGCCTGCTGGCGGCCCCAGCCTCAGTGCTCCGCCTTGGCTGCGCGGGTCAGCAGAGGACGGAGGGCGCTCGGGGAGCTGCACGAGGCTGCCCCGGCCCGGCCTCCGCTGCGCTGGGCGCCCACGGGCAGCTCCGGGCAGGAGCTCGCAGAGTGGCTGGAGTGTGGGGCCCGGCCTCGGCGAGCGACAGCACCGACCCCGGCCCCGAGCCATCTGGACTCCGAGCGCGAGCGCGTTTGAAGTGGTTTGGGGGCTCTTTGTTTGCCAGGCCGCGCTGGCTCTGGGCCTGGAGGTGGTTTACGGCTTTGATGCCTTTGAACCTATTCCCGGGTGACCCGGGCTCAATTAGGCCCGGGCCTGAGCCGGCTCTCAGGCAAGCTGCGTGATCAAGGGCGGGCTGGGCCCTTTTACTGGAGTTGAACCCGAGGCCGGAGAGCGCTCGGTCTCTGCTGCTCCTCCAGCCAGCCAGGCGTGCCGCGAGGTGGGGCCCGCGGGTCGCGACCACCGCCTTGGGAAACCCGAGGACGGCAGAGAGCCGGCCATTCGCGCCCCTGTCCGCGGGCCCTGGCTCTGGCCGTTCTAGGTGCCGTTTTCCCAACAGTATGTCAAGGAAGGCAGAACGCCTAGGAGCGGGCCCTCGCAGGCACGTGACTTTGTGCCTGCGCCCTGGACCCGCGGCCCCACAGTCCGATGACTAAAGGTTCTGCAGAGCCACCGCACCCAGCCCCACCCGGCCTGACCGCCCTCCTTCCTCCGTGCTGGGAAGGCCCCTGGCTCCTCCAGCGCAGCAAAATAGCTTTCCTGATCCCTTTCTTTATAATTCTCAAATACAAATTTAAGGAACGAGAGAAAGAGAAGCCAGGCCCCCAGACATCCTGCCCCTGCTGGGGCGCGGCCCTTCCTGGGGCTTCACTGATGAAAAGGGCCTGTTTTTCCAGAACGGGCCTTTCCCTGGCTTCTTCGCTCAGTGACAGCAGCGATCCGTTGCTCTTTTACCAACCCTGTGTGGGTCTAAGGACCCAGATGGCCACATCTCCCCCTTCCCAGGTGGGGAGGGCTTTTGCTACTAGTAGAGGAGCTGCCTGGTAGCCTGTTTCACCACCCCAGTCTCTCTGTCTTTCTGTCTCTCTGCCTGCCGCAGGCTCCTGTGTCATTCTCTGGCTCTGTCGGTGTGTCTCTTTCTGTCTCTCTCTCCAGCAGAGAGAGTTCAGAGTTTAATTTGAAAGAAAAACAGCTCCGCTTTGGTCCTGAGCAGCGCAGGGCTCAGTATAGCCCTGAGGACCAGAGGCCCCGGGCACGCTTCGGGAGGGGAGTGCAAGTTGGGTTGCAGGCTCACCTCTGCCTGGGGAGACGGGCATGGAGGATTTCACCCGAGACGCCCAGCCGCCCTGCGGAGATGGGCATGGAGGATTTCACCTGAGACGCCCAGCCCGCCCTGGGCCTGTCGGAACCAACAGCTCAGTTCAACAGTATGGATACGCTTTCTTCACAGCATATCTTTTCTACTTTAAAACCCTTTAACAATGAATTGAAGTGCTGGAGTCTGGTACTGATGGCTGCTGGAGAAAACCTTTGTTAATGGAATTTGGAGTATCTGTCTTGTGTTGTACTGTCAGTCCCTCAGAATCATTACCTGGGCAGTGACTGCTTTCATAAATAGGAGAAAATGAGGCACAGTGACATTTAGCAGCGTTTCCAACGCCACCTGCAAGTTAGCTGGGGAAGTGACAACATTTCTCTTTTGAGGAGGGGGATTTGCTGAATTAAAACCCAAATGAAAATGTCATCAATTTAGGAAATAATACTCAGGTTATTGATTTAGTTTGAGTTTTTTCTTTTAAAAATTAAGTCAGCAATAAGGCTAATAAAGCCAATTTATTAATACCCTAAGTAATACAATGTATCTCTGTGTGAGCATTCATTGCAGGACCACCCAGGCTCACTGGACTTGAGTTAAATATCACTCAATAAAGATTCACGGAAATAAATACAGTTCTTGGGGTACTTATTCATTATTGAGTATGGAAAATCCTGTCAATGCTTCCTTTCACATATGTAAAAAAGTGCTTTGTTTCATGCGACTTTGTTTAGAAAAAAATGACGTGGTGTTCTGAAAGATTCTTCTATTGCACGTTTTCCTTAGGGCAGCAAGTACAAGAAGGTGATGTGTTTTCACAGCGAATTTGATGGCTATTCGATTGGCTCTAATCCTGCTGCAGTAGAAAGACACTGCTGGGATTGTCACCTGGGGATAGTCTTCAAGAATAGGGGCAGGTGCGGCGGCTCACACCTACAATTCCTCAGCACTTCAGAGGCCAAGGAGGGCGTATCACCTGATACGCCCTGAGGTTGGGAGGTTGAGACCAGCCTGGCCAACATGGGGAAAGCCCATCTCTACTAAAAATACAAAAATTATCTGAGCGTGGTGATGCATGCATATAATCCCAGCTACTCAGGAGGCTAAGGCAGGAGAATCTCTTGAATCCAGGAGGCAGAGGTTGCAGCGAGCCAATCACATCACTGCACTCCAGCCTGAGCAATAGACTAGCAAGACTGTGTCTAAAAAAAAAGAGTAGAGGCTGGGCACGGTGGCTCACGCCTGTAATCCCAGCACTTTAGGAGACCGAGGCTGGTGGATCACGAGGTCAGGGGTTCAAGACCAGCCTGGCCAACATGGTGAAATACTGTCTCTACTAAAAATACAAAAAAA